AAAAAAAAAAAAAAAAAAAAAATGTAACAGTATTGTGGTCACATGAAGTTCATATATGGTAATTATATTGTAAACTTAGGGGGAAGGGGGTGTTGTAGAGTGAGCTTTTGTAGATTAACCTGTAGGGGGCAATCTAATGTTTTTTGCCTTTGGGCTTAAGAGTAGCAAAGAAGAAACTGTCAGTAGACATGTGTTCCACCTGGAACTGTTCTCAAGTGTACTGCTGGCTTGATGTTCCTTGAGTAAATGAACTGCCTTTAACGGATTTGTCTCCTGCAAGTTATTACAAGACGTTTGTCAAGTTTTTGTCATTAAAACGCTCTTGTATGAAGGACTAATTTCTTACGCATCTAATCCCATGCCTCCGTTGCTAATTCCAAAACGTCATTTTAGAGTTAGTAACGGAGGTCTGAGCCACAGACAGCAGACTAATGATGGGGACACACTTACGACTTGCTGAAACATCCGAAGACTGACTGTTTCCATCGGCTGCAGCAGGTTCAGGTTCAAACACCGACTGTGAACACAGACTGAACGCGTTTGGGCATGATCAGTCATAAGTATCAAATTACATTCATAACCGGCCTTACAATAAGTGTGTCCCCGCTTTATGTGGCCTAGTTATTAATGCAGTTATTAGAGATAGAGAGATGTTGCAAATAATAAGACAGAAAAGCATGTGCGTCAATATTATTATTTATTTATTAATTCAATTCGTTTTAATTCGTTCATTCTTTTTTTTCTATTATTGACAGTAGACTAGCCTAATAAAATAAACACAAAGCCCTTTTAATAAGTAGGCCTATCAATAATTATTTATTTGTATATTATCTGGAATAATTACGAAAACCCATGCAGCAGCAGGACTATCAATTTATTTATATATTCAGTTTAATTTTCTATTGATTATAGATAGGACTATATCCTTTTTTTTAATTCAAATTAAACTGCATGTGTCCATTGATTGTGAAGTTAGACATCGAAAATGGCAGATCAAGCGCATGGGCTGCATGTTTTTTCTTGTTATGAATTGTATCCTATTTTCCGTTATGACAGTTAGCTATGCGCAGTGATATGGAACTGTAATGCGGTCAAACCTGCCTGGAACTACTTTAGCCGTGCGTTTCCCTGAAAATAATTGCACACCTTAGAACGTTCTCAACCAATCAGAATCAAGCATTCAACAGCCCTGTAGTATAAATATATATATATATATAATGGCCACGAATTAAGAATTCGTTCTCTCATTTTAGTAAATTGTGGCCATGGTCCCGCATGTAGAATACAGTCTTTCTCCTGTTTTTTATGAGAAGTATTAATGTTAAAGGTTTGCTGTTTTTACCTTTTTTTGTTAGTTTTTCATAGTATGTTTTGTTTGTGTGTCTGAATTGTATTGAATCCAATTAGGGTCAGTTTAACCCACAATAACGCTTGTACCTAGATTGTAAACCTATAAAAATAGTTTTAAACTTGTTAATATTCATAAAACGGCAATAACGTTAAAGGAAAAGTTCAGTTGATGGGCCAAATTGACTTCCATAGTAAAAAATTTTCCTACTATGGAAGTCAATGGGGTCCATCAACTGTTTGGTTACTGATTCTTCAAAATATCTTCTTTTGTGTTCAGCAGAAGAAAGAAATTCATACAGGTTTGGAACAACTTGAGGGCGAGTAAATTATGACAGAACTTTCATTTTTTGGTGAACTATCCCTTTAAGCTAGCAGCAAAATGTGAGTGACCATCACTCTTTGCGTGCATTTCGATTTTTGTTTCCGTTTCTTTTGGATCATTCATCTTCAAAGTTTCCACAAGAAAGAAAAAAAACTAAGCGTTTCCCAGTTTTATTTTGCCTGCCAGTTCTGCTCTCTATCAATGAAATCAAATTATGTATCTTGGTGAATGGTGATGGATGCAATCAAGTCAGTCTTCTGAAATGTCCTTATATTAATTACACGTATACCTCTTGACACAGTTTAAACATCTAATGCCAGTAGGACTAAGTAATGCAGTACTATCGGGACGTTTTCCTTTTTATCATGGCAGTGACCTGAAAATTTGACTTTGTGTTCAGTTCAGTGAACTTAGAGGTATTTACTTGCTTGGAAAGTTTCCATCTTGAAAATGCCAATACTTTACATAAAGATCATCACCAATAGATATGCAATTATTGTTTGCCATCAGTGCTTCTAAAGTGCACAACCCTGAGGTTCTTGTCTGCTTTGAGTTACATACAAACATGCTGACTGAATTACTAGAGCTAATGTCCAGCATATGCTGCTATTGCCAGAGGCAGATGTGTCTAAAGTAGCTTTGCATTTGCACTGTAGGCATTGTTTGGCACAATGAGGGCTGGAGTCAGCACAATGAAAGCATTATGCGTGAAATCCTGTTTTTTTCTTGCCAGATGATACAAACACCAGAGCACCTGATGAAGTTCCTTCAGATTTATGCACGATCCAGATACTTCACTTTGTATCTAATTACTTTTGTTGACCTCAATAGGAGAAGTTCTTTGCCATTTCTTTGCATTAATTCTGCATTTTCCAGGTGGCCTTAGTCACATTTTGGCTTATTATTATGGGTGGGCACAACATCTGCAGTAGATCATTTTGAGCTGTATTCTACCAAACACCCGCCCACCCATAATGCTCAAGCAAATAGCCACATAATCGCACACAATGTGTACAGGACTGTTGAAATTGGGCCAGGTTGTCTTCGGAGACGGCGAGTCACAGAGGGAAGCGGCACTATAAGTGGGTCACCTTCATTGTGCGGCTCGCATCATTAGAATGGTTCTGCTGAGACTGGTTGAGACTGGAGTCGTTTGGCACTCTCCGTTCCTCTCCATCTTGTCTCATTACTCAGCTTTGCTCTTGGCAAGCAGCGGACACCACTCGAAGCATAAAAAGACAGAAGAAAAATCTCATATCCTTGTTGGCCAGAGCTGTTGTTTATAAAACATAATGTATTTTTCTAAGCAAGCAAATTATGGTGAAAGGATCACCCAGTTCCTCGGCCCACTTGGTGGAATTTACTTTAACACAGTTTGACAGATCATTAAGATTAGGCTTATTATATTTTTTGACTGTCTGGATATTACCATTTTTCCTAACTATTTCAGTTTTCCATTGCTAATAAAACAAATTGCTTTTGATTTCATGCTTATTATATCTTTAGACTGTCTGGATATTACCATTTTTCCTAACTACTTCAGTTTTCCATTGCTATTAAAACAAATTGCTTTTGATTTCAACTTAGGTCAAATAATTTAACAAATGTCTCAGTCTTGACATGAATGGCAGTGGAAGTTTAATGCAAGAATATGGGCTGATTTTTGCCACATTAAAGAATGACATTGCTATAAAAGCCTTCTTAAACCAAGCTAAACTTGTTTGCTCATCTTCCACATTGGTCAGGCAGGTCTGTTAGCTGGTATCAGAGGAGCTTTGGGCACTTTTCACCCAGCCTGACCAGCAGAAAAGTGCCCAACATCTTTTTAAAATCTGTCAACAGACCAGGTTGGGAGACCAGCAAACCAGACATGGCTGGTTTAAGAAGTTTTTATTGGCTGGTTTTCACTTTTCAGCTGGTCAGGCAGGGAGACCACCTAGCTAAATAAGCTAAAGGGTTGAGGATCTGTTTAAACCAGCTAAGACCAACAAACTAGCTTAGATTTTTTTTTTCCAGCACTAATAAATCTCTCATTTGGCAATACTGCTAAAAAAACCTACTTAAACTAAGCTGGTTTGCCGGTCTTATCTGGTTTAGGTTGGTCTCCCAGTCTGGTCAACCTGTTTTTCAGCAAGTCTCCCAGCCTGACTAGCTGAAAAGTGACCAAAACCCCTATAAACAAGTCCAACAGACCACAGACTGGGAGTCCAGCAAAACAAATTAGACTGATTTTAGATATTTGTTTTGCAAGAGACCAGCTGTCCATCCAGATAAAAACAGCTTAGCCAGGCTGGGGACCAGTTTAAACCAGCTAAGACCAGCAAAAAATATTTGTAGTTTTGTAGTAGACTAATGAATATATCATCTGAAAAAATGATATCGTCTGGTCTCCAAGACTCGTCAAGCTGCTCGTCAGCAAGACTGAAGAAGGCCCAATACCCTTTTAAAACCAGTCCACAGATCAGCCTGAAAAGGCTGGGAGACCAGAAGACCAGATTAGGCTGGTTTAAGATGTTTTATAAGGGCCAGGTGACCAGCTGGCATCCATCTAAAATCAGCTTAGCCAGTCTGGAAGTCCAGTTTAAACCAGCAAAGACAAATAAACCAAGTTTTTTTCAGCAAGCTAATACACATTTCTCATTTGACAATGCCATATAAACTATTCCCATTCAACATAATTAAGCAAACTCTTTGTTTTCGTTTAATATACAGTCTGTAAGGATCCGTCTCCGAATGCTGATTAATGACCCATTTGGTGTGTTCTCAGATAATCTTTGCATTAAGCGACGTCCTTCCTCGTCGCAGGTCACAGGTGGCTGGGCTCCTGGGGCCCAGAACGAGTAGAGTTAATTGAACACGAGGCGCCCGTCCGCCTGCCTACGTGCTCGCCGCCTGAGTGGAACTGTGTATTTCCAGTGAGTGAGAGACAGAATAATGCCGTGCCTTGTGTGCCCCGGCGAGCTATCACTGCTCTGCCGTTGCCATGGTGACAGTGCCCTCGCTGGGTACAGCGGGCTGGAGAAGTTGCTCTGGCTCTGCGTCATATTTATTCCAGTGGATCAGTGCGCTCTCTCCCGCCTCCTCCTTTTGCTCTCCTCTACGCTCTCTCTCCCTCTCTTTCTCTCTGTCCATGCTTTTTAGGGCTAATTGACCCAGCTCCAGATCATCAATACACAGAGCTTCGACTACCACAAACAGCACAGACCCCGAAGAGGTAAATTGTGGTGAGGCAAACAATGTGGAACATTGTTAACTTGATTAGATTCATTTTTTTTTTTTTTTGTATTTTATTCAAGTGGTGATAAATCGACTTGGTTTTTTGTTGTTGCTGTTGTTGTTGTTATTCTTTTCATGCACATAATCGAATCAGGAGTTGATTATAGATCTTTTCTCTGTTTGTTTCTCGACAGCGTGGCAACACCAGGAACACCGCCGTAACTGCGAGGGAAGGTGAGTGAGTGTCAGCGCATGCAGGTAAACATCTAGGCTTCAACAATGGTGGTGTCAGAGGAAAGACAGAGGAGGGATCATCTTTGTTTTCAGCAGAGCCGCGAGTTGGAGTGTGAGAGCGTGTGACTGAGGACGAAGGAGAGAGAGGGAGGGAGGGAGGGAGGGAGACCTGATTGTGCAGTCTGTGGTGAAGAGCATCTCCCGAGGCTCAGCGCTTCAAAGCCAATCTGGGGCTCTGAAAACAAAAAGCCATTTCCTACAGCGGCGCAAGGAAACCCCTCAATGTGAAATTATTCTCCATGGAGTGGCTCTCTTTGTTCTTCGATCACTGCGTTTTGGACCGCAGCTCCTCTCGGCTGAGGAAAGTAAATCAAATGAGATCATCAGAGGCATTTTAAGAGTAAATAATTGCAGAGCACATCTGATTTTGTATCTGATTGGCAGGTCGTTTGTGTCTGTGAGGGATGGAGAGTGTTGTCTCAGTGTCGGCATATTGATTTTGAGTGACAGGTGACATGTAACAGCGGTGAGATGAAAACAGAACACTGTTCCCTAGATACGCTGGATGAGAGTCTGTGAAATCAAGAGGTTGCTGAGTGCTCGCTCGCTCCCCCCCCCCCCCTCTGGAGTTGTCAGGCGGCTTTGACAGGGGACGTAAAGGACCAGTGGTGTGTGAGATTCGGTAGTTAGAAGCACAGCCCACTGGAGGGAGAGGCTTTGAGAAGGGAGAAGCAGGGCAGAGCGGGGGAGGCGTCGGGTCGATCGCGGGGCTGACACAGAGTGGGTGCCATGTGGACAGGGACCTCTGTCTGTCCTTTGGGACTATGAGAAAGCCAATGAGTCTCTGAAACCGGGAGGGTTGAAGATGTGAGCGTGCAATTAGAGACAAAGATAAATGCTGAGCTTTTTTTAATTACAAAGCGATTAACTTCTAAATTGTATTGTTTTCTGTGAGTGCTCTGTCAGTTTTAAACACGGGCTCCTTGAAGAAATTAGACACCTTAGCACACTCCCTGGGCTGTTTCTCCAATGTCCCAGTACCCCAGGTACGTTCTGAATTTTTAATCTGGAAAATGGTTCAGCCATTAACTGAACCATTTTCTTGTCGATGAGAATAAATGACAGTTGCTACATGTATAAAACAAGGTATTTCCATGTTGTTGTTGTTTTGACATGTACTATAGAAATACCATGCTATTCCTAAAAGTAATTTTGATTGTTGATATCATGCATTATGAATATGGTAACCATTAACAAAATCATTCTGTTGTCAATAAGAGTAAATCGCAGCTACTATATGTACAGAAAAGGGTATTACTGTGATTCTGGACATTGAATTACCATGGTATTCTTAAAAGTACCATGTAAATAACATGCTATATAAGGTAAGCATTAACAGTACCATTTGCCTAACAATTCTATCACTACTCTGTTACAATACTTACAAAAAGTTACCATGTTTTGGACATTTATTTTGGAAATACCAGGGTATTCTTAAAAGTATCTTGATGTGCAAGGTAGATATCATGCTATCTGAATATGGTAACAATTAACAGTCCCATTTTTCCCAATAAATCACAGTTACTATATTTACTAAAAAGGTAGTTTAATGATTCTGGACACAGAAATACCATGCTATTCTTAAAGAGTAGTACCACATTAATACCATGCTATATAAATTTGCTCTATCTATCTATCTATCTATCTATCTATCTATCTATCTATCTATCTATCTATCTATCTATCTATCTATCTATCTATCTATCTATCTATCTATCCTAAATAAATAAAAAACACTAAAAACTACAATTGTTTAAATGCTTATTATGCATATTCAATTAATAGTTTTATATTAATATTTGCTATACTAATATCACTTATATATTTACTAATAACATTTATATTTACATATATTGTATTAACCATAAATGCATAATATTTATTATACAAATATTAACATTTGTTAGACGGCGACAAAAGTAATTTAAATGAAAAAACGGGAAATGAGCATGAACTACTAAATATCCAATATTGACTAATACAGATATATAAAAAAGTACATTTATTATATATATTGGCTAATAACTGATATGATACTAATATATTGTGCATACCCCACAGTACTTTTCTGTGAAGGTATCAAAGAGAGAATTATGCATAGCAATGCATAGGTTACTAAAATGCACAGAACATGCAGAGAGGAGAAGGACAGCTGTATGAGGAGAAGGGAGATCAGTCATGCAGCATATAGAGTGTGTGTGTGTGTGTGTGTACGTGTGTTTCACTCTGGCAGGGGTGAGCTGTGCAGCAGACCCCTGGGAGCATCAGGAGGGCAGGCTGTACGTGTGCATGTGTGTGTTTATGCTGTGTGTCGTAGCTCCACTAGGCGGTAATGACTCCGTGCCTCTGGGCTCTGGCTGCCTCTGTTTATCTCCGTTAGCAGCACAAGGCAAAAATAGGCAATACACAGAGAGAAAAAAAGAACAGCATCACATGGCCAATGTGCTCTAAAATGTGCCTCACAGGTCACTTTGACAATGTTGGCTCTCGCTTCCCCTCTCCCTCCTTCTCTGTTCCTCTCCTGTGTCACACACACTCTCTGTCTCTCTCACTCTCATATTTTCTCCCTCCCACAAGTATTGCAATTTGCATATTAATGAACCTGGGCGCAGTGTCGAGCAGGAGTGTAATTCCTACTTCCTGTTTCTCGCAGAGCTCTTGTTTCTACATTTTGATTTTTTTGTGCCCTCCTCCTACTGACTCCCCACCCCTTTCTGCCTGTTTCTCTTTCTCAGAAGAAGCCCATGCTAGCAGTGCGTGGACTGAACAACACCATTTCATTAAGAGCAGTGCCAAACATGTGAGAAGATGTCTGTTGGAGGTTGTGCTTGCCCAGGTAGGAGCTCTAATTTCATCTCTTTAGCATGGACTGCTTCAGGCAGGAGTTGCGAAACAACATGGGGTTTTTGGGAATGAAAGGGAGAGGACTATACCTAGAAGACTTCACATCTCTTGTGCCCCAATGTGAAGCCACTTAGGTCATGTGTTGCAGTCTGCACTGTATGGCCTGTTTATTTGAACATTAAAGGAGCATTACATAAATCAGCATTCCTGTACGCCGACATTTGTTTTAGAAGTTCATTTGTGTATTTTATTTGTGGATGCAATGACATGCATTAGTTTGTGCAAGAAATGTGTATGTGATCTCAGAGCAGAGACTTCCTGGACATTGCTGTGACTTGAATAGTCTCCCTGACTGGTGTGTATAGTTGTGCGGGGTGCTTTCCTTTCTCATATGACGTCAGCCTTCACTCGCATCTTAAAGTGCTTTGCATAGAAAAGCAAGTAAACGCTTTTGATTGAGCAGGACATTGTGGCAGTTTAACCTTCTGACGGTTATGAAAAACATATTCTCTTTGTTTTTCCTTCATGAATCATGTTCTGAAAACATTTTAGGCATTGGTTTGTCATTTGTGCCGATGGCAGGGAATAATATATGGATTGTTTCTGTAAAGGAAAAAAAAAAACACCCAACACAAATTCATTCATCTGCATTGCAAACATTTTTCACATGTTGAAGGGGTTTGAAATCAAAGGCATTGACTTTTTGGCAGCTGTTCTTACTTTGAGACTGTTGAATAGAGACATCTGTCTTAATTAATTTATATAAGATGAAATGCACGATTAGTCACAAGCATCAATCACTGTGTTTTTTTAAAATATACAAATCAGTCTTCATTTATATTTATATTAATTTGAATAAATATTTATTTTTTTAGTATTATTACTTATATGTATTATGCATTACAATAGGGCTTTATATTTATTCATATTTATAAATATTATATTTCTGTATATTATGTTTATTATGAATTACAATAAACTCTAAAAAATGTATATATTTATGTATTCTTCATTAATTTATATTTTTTAAATATGTTATATAATTTATATTCAATATATTTTGTATATGTATGCATTTATATTGTTTGTGTGTGCATGTGTATATATATATATATATATATATATTTGTATTTAAAAATCTTATATTTTATATTTTCATATTTATGCATATATGTATAACATTTATCTTTAAAATATTAATATTTACATACTTGTATCCAAAGCAATGTAATTGCATTTAAAGTATACATTTGATGAGTTTAAATCGAACCCATGACTTTGGTGTTGCTAGATCCACACTCTGAGAAGATGGGACAGAACCTTCATAAAAATGTTTGCACCGTGACTGGTCTTGGCTGAGAATCAAGTGATGCTTTTGGAGACATGGCTCCATGCTGGTGATCTAACAACAAGTATCCTCATAGGGAATCTCTAAACCAGATTCAACGGAACTGTGTGGTCCAATCAATGGCAACATGAAACTTCATGAGACTTGCTTAGTTTGACCATACACCTTGTGAAAAACCGTTAGGAGTGACACATTGATGATATAAAGCTGCTTTCCTCATTCTTTTGCCATCTTTACCTTTTGGAATCTTAGCGTCTTAAGTCCAAAGGTTACCTGTGAATGAATGTATGCAGTTTGTTTGAGTGTGGTCAAGCATGCTGGAAGCAGTGATGTAGCATATGTTGACTTTGCTGTGTAGCCCAGTGTGCGCCATCACCTAAATAGAGAGAACACATTTAGACACATTAGACACAAGGCACCCTTGTTTCTGACCAAGTCTTTCTCTCTCACAAGTTATAGTCTCTGGATCACTTATACGTTTTTAATAGAGTCCATATGTTCAGTCTATAGGAGTTTCAAATTCCAAGTACCATGTTCTTGAGATCTGTGGCATCATGGAAAGATAATCACAATTACAAGGAACATAGTGCTTGTCCTCTCCCTCACTGTGATAAAGATTAAAAACAGGGTGAATGGCATCAAGGCAAGTTTGGACCGGTGTGGGGATTGTTTCGGTGCCATAAACACAAGGCAAGCAGTTTCTTCAGACGCTCTCAAGTCAGATTTTTATCTCAGTGCAAGAGCCAACCACAAAAGCCTCTCTGGCAACCTCATTGATAAACAAGCCAAAATTTGGCACATAACATTTGTTTAAAATCAAGTCACAAGGGTACATTTTTACGAGCGTAGTCATGGAAATTTCCACAGACATGTGTCCTGTCTGATTGCTTTCCTTTTTTGTGAAGAGGGAGGCGGGAAAGAGGGTGAAGAGAAGAAAGAACGAGACGGGGCTAGACTGAAACGGAGGCTTGGAGCGCGAAAGACGGCTCTTTCTTGCTTTTGTGTGGGGTCCCACTGCGCCATTTCATAAAAGGCAGAGGAGCACCATAAAAGCCTGCTTGTGATGTTCACCTCTGTCAGAAACACGATGCAATCTGTGCTTACAGCGCACGTCCCTCCCCTCGACACAGGTTTCGTTTGAAGCCTGGTTTGTTTACATTCCTATGCTCGTGTGGGCTGCACGTACAGTGGGCTGCCGTGATCCTCCCGTCTGGATTTGCGGATATATTGCTGAGCACGGATTGCACGCTTTTAATGGCCTCTTTTATAGCTTTGTTTGAGCTAGATAACAACCCATACCGACGCTTTTAAATGTGAGCTAATAAGCTCCATCCAGCTGCTCTCTGCCACTCGACTCTCTACCTCTCACCTACAAGTACTCGATATCAGCATGTGTCCTGTTACCTCATGCAAAAAAGTCACATGGCCCCTTGATTAGAAGGAAATTACTTTAAGCGAAGCTAAAACAGTAACAAAGCGAGCCTGTTTCAAGTTGCACAACGGCAAAAGGGTTAGGGTGTGCCTGTCAAGTTAAGAGAAGCTGGGCTGGTTTACCATCTCCCTGCTGGACTGGTAATGCCTGTGCATGGTGCGTTTAGCGTGCATTTGTGTGCGCGTGTGCAACATCTCCCCCTCTCCAGCCCGTGGCTCACAGATCAGTCTCATTACACAGTGCTAGAACAAAATGGCTTCCTGTGCAGAAAATCAGCTCCCCTCAACTTGTCAGCATTAGACGGGGATGTTAGAACTCGTTATGTCACGTGTCAATGATGGTGAGGAAATATTAGATGAGAACTGGCATTTGCCAGCTGCACAAATCCACCACTGTAAGAATCAATCGTTGTCTGAACAAAATGACACATGATTTTACAGACTGAATGAAGATTTATTAGTGATGCTTGGTAGGATAAGCATTACTTTTGCTATTGCTTATGGTACCTCTATTATTATTAAACTTTGGCATGTGAGTCACTGTTTGTGCTGTGGAAATGAATGATACCTTAAATCATGTGGCTTTATGATGAGAGCTGTGCTGTTACTTTTCCAGGATTTTTTCAAACTGGAGTCCTTCTGGGGGACCAAGGTCCGCAAAAGGGTGCTGGGGATTCTGCAGAACATTTGAAAGAAAATGTATTTATCTTTTTTACCATTTACAGATTTTGAAATTATTTTAATTTTAGGGCAGTCAAAGTCAGCATATTAACGTAAGGTATTTTTGGACATGTTTTACGCTGTCTCATTTTTTACCACATTCGCAGAATTTGACATCATTAATGTTGCATTATGCTGTCTAAAGAATTCACAATAATTTGATTCTATTGACAGCTTTATTTCTAAAATCACACGTGACACTTTCAAGAATAGTTTGTAGGCTCATTTTGTTGTTTCTCCGTAAAAACAGTCAGTTATTAAATATGAAAATAATATCTTATACTCACCTATAATTATAAATGGGTCGCAGTATTTAAATTCGGTCGCAGCTAATCACAACCGTACTGAAATGTGATATTGCTATTATGTAGGCTACTAGTTCAATGAACAAGGAGTTAATATTGAGTAACTTAGGCTACATTTCAAGGACAACACAGTTGGTTTGTCTGTTTTTTTCGCCGCCATTGAAAATACCATAGTTTCAAACGTAGCCAGCAGCAGCAACACGCAGTGGCGTTTCCTTCCTGAAGCGAATCGGTTGAGTGAATGAATCAATGAATCACTCATAAAAACACGTGGGCTGAATTCGAAAAGTACTCCCATACTACTCGTTAAGTATGTTTTCCATATGAAAATATGATAGAAATAGTAAGAGTAGAATTATTAATTATGTGATTAGGCATCCGAATTCACCATAGTTTTGTTCTTGATTGAATTGTGATTCATTACAGACAGTCACTTGTCGCCACCTATTGGTGTAATTTGTTTGCAGTAAAAGTCATTGAAATAGAACTAAAAATGTAAAAATTTTGTTCCTGAGACCTCAATAAACTCCCATGACCCATCCCTGAGGCTGCTGTTGCCAAGGGAAACACACTGAGTCTGAACCGGTCTGAACACAACAGACCCCTCACACTCTCTCTATACCTGAAGTGTGTGTTTTATATAGGGAACACCTAAAGTGCCTGAACAGATTTATTTCCAATGACAGCAAATGTGTTTTCCTTAGTGTGTTTTACTGCTCATTGATTTTTCTCTGCATTCTCATCAAGTATTTCTCCTGCTGCTTTTTGAGGTCTGACACTTATGTTTGATGGCATATAGTCTTTGCCAACAAAGTCAACAAACACCACAGTTACTTATTAGTCATTTATCAGACACTTTCATATCCAAAGTGACTTGCTGAGTATATTTATTGCATGTTCAGTCGCCATGGAGTGACCTAAGGTTAAGTGCTTTGCCCACATCTTTAACCAGAAACCACTGCAGTGCAGCAGAAGGCAGAATATTCATTCACTGTATATTTGTTAAGCGTGGGTATTTCAGAGCCTTCATCGTATTTCCTCTCACAGCAGTGTAACGCATGTTTCTAAGTGATTTAACAGCTTAAAGAGATGCTTGCAACAAAAAAAAAACAGTCAATTTAATCCAGCAGTGGGTTCACTTAGCGTTGCATATGTCTCTGGCAATCAAATGCCTGTAAGACTTTAAGGTGGTAATGAGTGGTTTGTGATGAAAAGAAAGGAATCTGAAGAGGCAGTTTGATCCCTGCTGGGTCAGAGCATCATCATCTGTAGAAACCGAGGCAGGCTTTCATTGCTTCAGTCAAGGCGAGTCATGTTTGGGGTCAGAAAGATGTTATTGTTTTGTTTTAAAAGAAAGTAATACTGTTATTCAGCAAGGATGCATTCAATTAATCAAAAATGAGAGTAAAGAGTAAAGACACTTATAATTTTACAAAAGATTACTATATCAAATAAATGCTGTTCTTTTGAACTTTCCATTCATCAAATAATACTGAAAAAATGTATCACAGTTTACACAAATATTAAGCAGCAAAGCTTATTTCAACATTGATAATCAGAAATGAAGAATCATGTGACACATAAGACTGGAGTAATGATGCTGAAAATTCAACTTTGCCATCACAGGACTAAATTACATTTAAAAATAGAAAAAAGTTATTTTAAATTGTAATAATATTTCACAATATTACAGTTTTAATTGTATTATTGATTAAATAAAGCCTTTTTCAATAATAATAATAATCTTACCAAACCTATTTTGTTCAAAAGTTTGGGGTTGGTAAGATTTTTTTTAAAGTTTTTTATAGAAGTCTCTTGAAAGAACATTTTAAGAAAAGCTGCTTTATGATTAATGACAATATATTTAATAATGAATATAACTTATAATAAAATTATGTATAGGCTAACTAATAAAACTTGATACTCAAATAAAAAAAAATCCTCCTGTAATTTTGTACTAAAATGTTTTTAATAACAAAAAATGTTTTTGGGCAAAATATCAACTTGTACAGTATGAGGGTTTAATTTTTTTACCAGTGATTTTCTTTACCATGACTTTTCCATGATTATTCCTGTTTGTAATGACTGGATAACAATTCAGTGTGAGATCTCACAAAAACGTGCAACACTTCAGAATATAAAATATTTCAATTGACTATAGAAACACTTTAAAATGTTCAAGACTTTTTAAGATTATATTAATTTCCAATCATACTTTTGAAATTCCCTAAAATGTTGGGGAACCCCAAACAAAATATTCACACATGCGGTAATATAAATGCTTAATCGGGATTTAGGAATTGATTTCACAGATTTCATTAAAAATTCAAATGTGTTGACTCTCTTTTGTGAGAGTCAGCAGATCGTGAGATTTTTTCCCCTGCACATTCCTCTGAGTAGAGGACAGACATTAGATATGATTTGTACTGCAGTCAGTCCCCCACAGTAGTTAGTATGGCCCTCACATATGTCGTCTGTCGCCAGAGCATTATCGCGCTCTGCCAGCCGTGTAGCTGTGAGCAGCCTGGGTGAGCGTGAGGCACATGGCTCTCCCTGTGCTTGTGTTTGGGAGAGATGAGGCAGTGGCATAACAAAGAGCCCCTGGAGCACTGAGAGGGAAGCAGAGGCCTCATCAGGGAGAGAGATTTTGTCAGCCATGGCGGTGAAGGATGGAGTTTTCTCCACAGAGGCAATCCTTCATTCAAACCATGAAAATGAGAACAGCTTCACTGCTGCACATGAAGGACGTTCATAAAGCTTCATAAATGAATTCACCAAGAGCCCCCAGTGGAAGTTTAGCTATTATCGTTTTCCTGTCTGAATAACCAAGCTGCTTATTAGATCCATAAGTCTTCAGACTTTTAAAATACACCAATGTTGAGGTAGGCTATGTCATACAAATAACACACGCTAATGTATATAAGCATTGGTTCCCTTAACACTTGTGTGTTATTGTGATAATGGCTCATATCTTCCTTGCTAAATTTGTGCTGCAGTCCTGTGAATTAGTTAGATATAGAGTTTATGCAAGTTCGTGACACTAGGGAGCGATGTTGTTCTGTCTGAGGAAGTGGATGGGTCACTCTGAACCAGACTGTTAAAAAAAAGGTCTGAACCATCACACGTGCCACATGTGACCCACCTCAATTCATTATGAATTCGTTATGCTGATTTGACCCACAGCCAAAGAGACAGTTAAACCAAAAATGTCTACTCACTCATCATTATCTACTCACCATCATGTTGTTCCAAAATTGTATGACTTTCTTTTATTTTTGGAACATAAAATAAGATATTTAGTAGAGAAGTTTCAGGTTTTTTTTGTCCATACAACGAAAGTCAACATTCTTCAAAGATATATTATTTTGTGTTCCAAGCAGAAGAAAATTTGAAATAACATCAGGGTGATTAAACTTTGACCAGGT